AATTTTTTTTTTGTACTTATATCTGTTTTAACGTTTGTGACACCTGCAATATTTTATAGCTTATAATTAATTGTTATTATATAATTTATTCACTATCCCATTTTGTTTTGATTTCCAATTGAGAGAAAATTATTATCATTCTTAAATAACATTACACGTGTATGTTTACTCTTAAACAGTAACATTTATTCAAAACTTCATCCATGATTGGATACTCCTTATTTTAAATTTATAATTATATAACAAAATGTGTATTCGAGTATATTTATAATTCTTTTTTTTGTTATAAATTTTCCAGCTTTATTTTTTATGAATAAAGTAGTTATTTTTTTGTCTTTTTAATATTTTTAGAATCTCTTGAATAAAAAGCATTTAATTAATATATATATTATATATTTTAAAACTTATGTTAATTTCATTGTTTGAAATGTTGAATAAATGTTTTTAAATTGGTTTAAATTAATTAATTTCCCTGCATTATTGTTAATTATATCAACATTTATCTGCATACTGGTTCTTATGATTATTTTTGTAAAATATAATTATTTATCTGCATACTGGTTCTTATGATTATTTTTGTAAAATATAATTATTAATTTGACCCTTTGCTAAATAAAAATATTATAACGCCATGTTCAGTGGCGCCAAAGCCATATTTTTCAGATGTAGCAAAACATAATTTTACTGACTCACCACCTACGCCCTCTCTAACTCAAATGTTTTTTAAAAATATTAATTGTTATTGGTAAATATTAAGCTAATAGCTAAACTCGTGCACTTCGTAGCCGGTTAAAATTCCTACCTCTTATGTGTCTCAAACTGTGTGTTAAATTCCTTACTTATGATTAGGGAACGGATTTTAATGCAAATTGCATTTTTTTCTGAATGTTCGAAAATATTGCTTTCCAAGCAAATATTTCGCTCACACAACAATTGCCAATCATAATTGTTTCATTAATGTCAAATGTTGGCTGAAAATTAAATGTTTACAATTAAACACTTACACAACCATTATATAACATTTTATTTTTTAAAACCATAATTAAAATATATATTACTATTTATAATATATTAAAATATAAGTTATTAAAATTTAATTAATTTTATAATTAAATGTTTAGAAAAATGTCAAAATACAACACTGAAAATTCAATGAAAATTAAACCTTATGAAAAATAGTAAATATATGAATCGATCTTTAGAAACTAATAATATTATTAAACCTATTATAGGTACCTAATATATATTATATACAACAATATATACTTAATTATTGTGTATAAAAATAAATTTTTTAAATACATATTGATTTATTTTTATATAATATATGTGTACAATAGTAATACTATATATATATATAAAATATGGAGACAAAAATGTATAACAATTCATCAATTGAGAACGGCAGGCCCGATTTGGCAAACTCTTTTTTTTGTTTGGGTCGTCATTGCCAGGAGAAGGTTCTGAGTCTGAAATCAGCGTTAAATTATCAATCAGAGATTGATTATTTAAAATTTACAGCGCTTCAAATAGGACCAATGACTATATTATGTCCTAAGTGCCATGCAAAAAAATGGAAAGATGAAACTCATGGACTTAGCTGCTCTGACAGTAGAGTTGTTTTACACTAATTTGAGGATCTTCCAGGCCTAATTAAAAGTTTAATTGATAATTCTCACCCTTTATCAAAACATTTCTTTGATAACTCTAGACGGTATAATACACTGTTTCAAATGACATCGTTTAGAGCAAACGAAATAGCTGAAGGGAACTTCATGCCCACTTTTAAAATTCATGGTCATGTGTATCATTTAATAGGAAGTTTATTACCCGAAATTGGAAATAATGCTAAATTTTTACAAATATATTTTATGTCAGAGTCGGATCAAATATCTACTCGAACAAATATGATTCAAAATTTAAAAAGAGGTTTCATTGAATCATTGCAAACAGTTTTTCGTGAATATAATCATCTCACACAGAGACAGAGCTTCAGATCTAATCTAGATGAGTCGAGGTTCTTTGATGAGTTGCAAAACTTTAAGTTGGTTATTCATGCTGATTGTTATGAACGCATTAGCTATTAGTATATAGTATTAGCCTTTTGTATTAGAATATAATAGTATATTATTGTAGTCTAGGGGCAACGCCTAATGTGTAGGTGACTCCCGGAATATTGTAATTACACGGCACTCGCTTGGGAACCGTAAGCCGGTATTACACTGGATCGACACCAGTCGATCGACACGTTGATTCGACATCTGCTACCGAATTACCTTCGACTTTCATGCCGATTTGACTTGTCGATCGACAAAAAGTCGGTAAACATCAAAGGAAACTGAATCGACAACCGCACGGTAGCGAATTGCGTAGGTGGCAAAATTATTATTTAGGTATTATAACTGTTATTTATTATTGGTAAATAAAAAATTTCCGTGGCTAGAATTTCTAACAGGGGGCATCCAAGTGTGTTTTTGAATTTTTGMCMCAATTTTAAATTTGGTTTGTCCTMCCCCCACTTTGGATACGCCGTTAGTAAATAATAAATTGTGTCCAGCTACAATGTGATCGGGCTTTATAAAAAGCTGTTGATGGTTTATTGATTTTTTGGAAAATAGTGCCTTTTGAAATGTATCATTTAATTTTAGATTCTGACTCTAGAGCATACCTACCTACTTTATATTCTAATATTAATAGTTGTCGCTTATGACTTATAATACTTATAAATAACTATGCAAATAGAATAACTACTAATAAATTGTATATACTTACTATGTATGACTGAATGTGTCAGGTATATAATGAATCTGATTTTATTAATTTGGAATTTATTTTTTATCCT